TTCCTGTTTGTTCTGTCTGTAACACAAAGGCCAGAAGAGGAGGAGGATATGGAATCACAGGACAAATAATTACCGAGGCTCTCCTATGTGCCTGTCCTTGGGCTGAGCACCAGACACAGATGAAGGAGTCGTGGCCCCTTTTCAACAGTGGACTCTAATGTACTAAAAGCTCTAACTGAGATGGATGCCAAACATTACAGGAGCTCATAGAATGTGCCAGGCATAGTGATAAACACTATGTATATGTGAGCAGAAGAGAAATTCACAATAATGCCCACGGCAGCACAACTCACCCAATTTTATAGGTAAAGGAATTCAGGTGCAAAATTTCCCCGTGATTTTCCCAAGGTCACAAAGGTAACAGATAAGCAGAAGGGTTTGAACTTGGTGATCTACTGTGCTCTCACACCCTTCTTAAGCACACATCACATGATTCTCCATGACCATGAAGCAGACTCTTTGCAGATTACAGCCAGGCCAAGATAAATAGGATCTCTCTTCTTCTCCCGATGTTTTCGTGCTCTCTCTTTTCCTTGCCTCTCTCTTATCTCCCTGCATTTCCATCAATATTATCTGTGTTATCTGTCAGTCATAGAAGCGACTCTTTCTCTTTTCTTTGCTGGTATCAGCCATCCCCACTGATATTACAGGAATAGACAGACTGTGGTCATGGAGCAAAAGTGATACCTGCAGTTGCTAATGTCCATTCTGCAGGGTTTCCCAAGCCAGGACAGGCTCCTCACAATATCTGGCCTCAGATAGCTTTGAGCCTCATCCTCTTCCTCCTGTGTCCAGGCTGAGAACCTCAGGTCTCCAAATTCTCCCCATCTCCTCTTCTCTGAATAATGTTTTCTTTACTAAACCCCCGCTCCTTTCTTCCACTACAAAATGTCAGTTAGCCAGCCAGAAATCATTAGTATGTAGCTTGTTTTTAACCTCTGAGTTCCCAGCCCAACTTTCTAGAGAAAATATAGTCTTCATTCTATTCCTATCTTTTGGAAAATATGGTCCTCAATCAGTCCCAGCAAGGATGTCGGTAGAGTTCAGTGTGTCTGAATCAAACATTTGTGAGACTACACAGCACAATGGTTGAGAATCAGAGGTCTGGAGGGCCAGACTCTCTGGGTTCAAATCCCAAGTTTTTCTTTAACCACCTCTGTAACCTTGGGTATAGTTGCTTCTCTACAACTCAGCCTCTTCTCTGTATTACCAGGAAGATGATGACAGTGGTGATGGTGGTTGTGGTGGTGATGATGATGATATCTTCCTTATTGGGCAGTGGAAAGACTGAGTGAGATAAAATGCAGGTCTTTCAAATAGTGGCAATCCATAAACCTCAGCTAAAGACTGGAATAATGGCTCCTCCTGATAGCCAGTGCGCAAATCAATTTGTTGCCTCTTGGTGAAAACAAACACCTCAAAGATAAACAACAAACAAAAAGTCAGCTCTGCACAGAGCACTTCTGACACTTGCAAGTTGCGCTAAGCACAAAGCACAATTTACTCTTCTTTCATTTCTGTCTTTTTACCGGCCACAGTGTGCTCAAGTTTCCAGAAACGTCCATGGGAAAGAGCATTGATTGGCTTGAGCTGAGGAACAATACCAAACAATTAAAATGGCTTTGGTGAAGAAAGCGCAGGTCATGCAATGCAGCCCCAGGAGAATACCATGTTCCCGCTGAAGAGGGCAATGTGCAACGAAGGCCAGGTAGCCCACATATCTGTAGTTTTCTCTCAGGTCCTGCAGGCTCGCAGCCCATGGGAGCCCAGGCAGCTTGGGTTTCCAAGAGCTAATTTCTGAGCAACAAACACATCTTCAGATATGAAATAGGATTCTTGAGGTTTGAGCACAGTTACACACTGCCTATCTATCATCTGAGGGTACACAGTGCAAACTGATCCTTATGCAAGGTGGAAGGCACAGTCCTGGTGCTTACTTTTTCTGTGTTTTCACACTAGTCTGCCCTCTCAAGCCGGCCTCTATAAAATTAAACAATAGCACAGCATCCCAGATGGTCTCTGCTGTTTGCAGAAGAAAGTGTTTCCTTTTCTACCAAGTCTGTGGGCAACACAACTGCTGCTGTCTGAAGCAAAATAACTTCTTGAAAGCATCCTTTGCACGGCAATAAAATGTTGGGAATGAGGATCTCTGCTTCTGGGATGCATTTATCAAGCCAATCATAGTAATTATAATTAGAGCAGTAGCTAAGTGAAAGCTAGGCATGAAATATATTTGCAGAAACCCTCAACCACATACACATAAGCCCTGTTTAGTGGCATTTTGATAAATGCCATTAATACATTTTGGGCATGGAGAAGATTAATTTTTTTGTTAAATATCTTGGTCTAGTTATACTAAAGTCTTTAACTAGATTTAAGGAGGTGAAGTCAGGATATGGAGTAGTAGGGTGTTCTAGCTAGCTATTGAATTTTTTTTTCATTAGACACTGTCAGATATGTTCACTGGGTATGAATTTAACCTAAATCTGTATTAGGGAAGTGAGGCAGATAATTGAAGATCTTTAGGGAAAACATAGCTGCAACTCTTAAATAATAATCTTTCCATGGATCCACATTGTTCAGGGAAGGAAGTCCATTCTTAGGGGTTCTTCATTCAAGAGTCCCCTCTTCAATAAAGTCCTTACCAAATTCTCTTCCCATTACCTTGCTCTCGCTCAGTCATTGGAATTTTTATCCTAGGTTTAAACTTTACTTCTTTATATGATTTATCTCCCCTGCTAGACTGTGACCCCCTTGAATCAGAGATTTTGCTTTTTTAACGTGGGTTTCCAGCACCTGGCAGTGACCCAGCACAGAATAGGTGCTTGGAAAATACTGATGGAAGAGTGATCAAATGAGAAAATGAAGGAATAGTGAGCGCTCTGTCCTTCTGTGTGGAGCTCAAACCTACTCAAAGTAAGACTCCTCCACCCCCAACCCACTCCCAGGCAGGAGTCAGCTGGCAATCCCAGAACAGTTTCAGGAAAAACGCAGCTTTCTATAGAACAACCTAGGAGAGGCAATTCAGGTTGGGAGGGGTGAGTGTGAGGTGTGGATAAGGCACTGTGGGCTCCTTACATTGTGTTTGGGGAGTGGGTGCCTTGGAGCTGCTTCCCAAGGCAAAGGATTTTGTTTTGGATGGGAAGGCCAAGGATACTATTTTCACAACTCAGCCTGGTTAGTACTTGGATGGGAGACTACTTTCACAACTCACTTCCACTGTGTGTGTGTATAAATATTATATATAATTTTTGAGATAATTGTAGACCTGCAGGCACGTATAAGAAATGGTAGATAGACATCCGTTGATCTTCCACCCAGTTTCAACCAATGCAGACAACATCACAACTGGGGCACTGACATTGGTACAACCCACCCACTTTATTGAGACCTCATCTATTTTATATGCACCCATATTTGTGTGTTGTGTGTGTGTGTTGATGTATGTCTATGTGTGGTGTACCTTTGTATTTCTGAAAACGGCTTTCCTGCCCAGTGGAGGCGGCCCATGCCTGGACCCAATCCAGTCTGATCTACGGTGTGCAGGAGTTGGCTCCCGGAGGCACCTGCGCGTGCTTGTATACGTTTCTTACACACATCAGGTGCCCAACAATCATCCACATAAACACTTGATCCTGTATGTCCGTGTGTGTGCGGGGGTTGGGGGGGGCCCAACGTTTTAAGGTAGAAAAATCAAGCATGAAGCGGCAAAAAGCAAAAAGTTGTCTATTTTTCCCACATTTGTGAATTAGCTGGTTGGCTAATTGCTTCAAAGCAATTCTGGTCTACAGACTCCGATCGCCGAAGAGCGCAGTTCTTGAAGCTTCTTTCCCCACCACACACACACACACACACACACACGCACACCAGAGGCAGAAGTAAGAGGACTCGCAGGGCCCCCAGAGGTCC